GAAGATTCATGCTGACGCTGTTTCCGAGGCAATCTCCTTCAATTCCGGTGAAAAGGTGCTAAGCTTTCGTGCGTCATATGAAGAACATCATCAGAGCGAGGTAACATCGTCACAACAAAATTTAAACTAACGAGTCAAGAAAACTCACCGGCAAATCCCTAAAAAGTGGTATATACACTCTACATCTGGCCTCTTTGATCAAATATAAAGTGATTTGGTTAGTTAAGGTCATATGTCAACTTCTAATCATGTGAGTGTGTCTGTCTTTATATTGGTATGTGCATGTTTGTGTTCGCCTATGCACCAAACCCGAAGTGATGGTTAATTGTTGAGCTTACTTCAATTTCGAGTGAAAGTGTTTGGTGAAGAGATTCGAAAGTCGAGTCAAGAAAACTGGTTATCTTAAATTTGGTTGTGAGGATTATACCTTGCTCTGATGATGTCCGTCATATGACGGACGAAAGCTTAACATCTTTTAATCGGAATCGAAGGAGATTGCCTCGGAAACAGCGTCAGCATGAATCTTCCAGTAAAACCAATCGACACCTGGACAAGAGGAATCCGCCGTCGTCTTCTGGTTGAACTGACCTTCGAATCTCTTCACCCAACACTTCTACTCGAAATGGAATTAAGCTCAACAATTATGAAACAAGAGATTTCTCGAAACCCAAATTTTATTCGTATAGGGTGATCAAGACTGGTAGTTGAATTTCTTCACAATGATGTGAGTATAAACATAAGGTATACTCATACTTTTGTGGGAAAATGCTATTAACAGTCGACTTATCAACTTGAACAAAATAGAGTGAATAAATCTTATAGACAGACAGACAGACAGATCGGACTAAAGGCACTAAGAGCATGTGGTGTAGTAGGAAACGGGTAGTCCGGACGAAACTGAAGATGCTGTCCGTTCTGACCTCGGAGAATTATCCTGCAGATCACGTTTTCAAAGCAAGGCGCATTGCTCGGAGAACCAAACAACTCTTGATTTCAGAAGGAGGAAATTCACGCCAAAGCAGACTTGGAATTGACTGATTCCCTCGTGGAAATGAAAATCAGAATGCATTTCAAGCCTCTTCAGTACAGCTCGGAGGAGAAAACCGTTTTGAAGATGAGCCTATGCAAAATTATACCAAATTAAGAGGCTTACTTGCTTCCATTTAGACATAGTCCATTTTCGGCCTTAAGTTCTTATTAAAAAACTGATAATATTTTTTCTATGGCCTAGAGAATCATGAAGCATTCACTTTCAGCTACTAATATCGAACCAACAGTAGTAGATCGGTTAAATAAAAGCCCTTACGTTGATATATACCAACCAATGAGAGCGCCTCTTTAGAAAGCTAGGATCTATCATAGCAGTGTGGGCAAATCCAATTACCAGACTTTTATCACAATCATATACTATAAAAGAGAACCAATCGAATCGTTCTATGTCTATCTATCGATGTGTATGCATTTTCATTTTCTATCTATGAGCATATATAGCACGTAGGATATAGTCTGTCAGTTTGGTTGACTTAGATTTACCACGAGACTTTTGCAAGGATGCGTTCCAGCTCTGAGGGTGTCTCGTGGGCTGCGTCAATCTGAAGGCGGTAGTAAAGTCAAACGGCTACAGATCAACGCGACTCGGTCATTCTATTCCAATGAGATCAACCAACGAATCGCTTTATTGCGTACTTTCATACGGAATGAAAGTCTCCTCAACAAAGTCTTCACATAGCCTTGTTGCCCAGCCTGTGATGAATACAGTTCTTAAGCAAGATCTACCGGTAGTTGCGAAACTTGCTACTCTCAACTTGACCTACAGACCAGTCAAGGGTGGTGAGCGAATGGCGATGTTGAATCACGATTTTCGCCAAGTTTCCCAGACGCAAATAGAGTCGGAGCATTGTAGCATGGACAATGCTGACCGACATGTTGTGCTGCCGTCGAGTCCATGTCGTCGCCAAAACTGTAGCTACATTTGGCTCCGGCGACAGGGCCGATGGGCATGTTGGTAGGCCGTGGAGGAGGCGACCTATTTTGCCGTTTTTACTTGCTGGTCGGCCAGTTGCAGACCGTTGGTCAAAACACCGCCACGTATGTATCTATTCTGAGGCGAGTTGTGTCTAGTTTTCGGTAGTTACGAGAAGTGGCTTTTGATTGGCCTCCCCTGCCAACAGGTTCGGTACAGTGTTTATTCCCAGCCAATCAGGATTGACCGGTGAAATGGCCATGTTCCTGCTTGCCTGTTCATCCGGCACAGTCCGGTTCCATATCGGTTGACATTTCGACTCGGCCAATTCACTGTCTTCGATTCCCGCCGAAGACGGCTCGAGGACGCTTCGATTAGACACTTTCAGTGGAGCCGCTTACTTAGGTTGGGATGGAAACGAAAAGTCACAAGCCCAACAACAAAGTGAGAAAAGCTGAAAGAAACAACTAAGCTCCCCGGCACATGATGCAAACATTAATAATCACAAGGAATTAATTTACCACCAATCGCTGAATAATGGGGCAAGTGAACGGCGATGGCTTAATGTGATCTAAGGGCTGATGTTTGACATGTTTGAGAAATAGACGAGAAGGCCTCAAGAATTTAATTGAATACAGCTGCTATTCGAACATAAAACAAGGATCAAAAAAGTATTAAGATCTACCAACAAAGGCCTTCATCACACACAAATTCACACAAATAGCAATTCACCACAACAATGTCAGCTCAGGACGGTCACGGAATCTCAGTTAGTTACCCCATAAAAAAATGTAAAACTCTCGTCGACTTCTGGAGGGATCCATCCACGAACCTCTTCCTCTCGCCGAAATTCACAAAAAAAGGAATTCAACACAGCACTTTCATCTTATGAGATTTATGGAATCTCAGCTGTTTTTCGCATCAACTATGCAGAACACTCATCGTTCTATGGTGAATTCGAGCCTCGAGCATGTTTATGAAGCTCAAATTTGCGCAAAAAACAGTTTACTCAAACGTAGTTATCATCGAAACTGGTTGGGATTGTTTTCGCTCCCTTGCTTCTTCGCCTAATCGCCACATCAACACTCTAGAACTTGATCCGATAGCGTTTGTTGAATGTCGTGTTGACGTTGCTACTACACTATTCGGTCACAGTTACTGGTGGGTCATGAGGAAGATGTGAAATTTAAGTCAACCCAGGCCTCATCTAAATCACAAATGTATACTATGTCCAATAGATGCATTCCTTATCTTTCTGGTTGGCTGATTTCATTCTGTTCCAGTTCCCGTGTATGTTTTATTCCAGACGCTATTTATCAAGTGGAAGTGTTGGGTGAAAAGATTTGAAAGGTCGGTTCCAATAGAAGAAGACGGCCGATTCCTCATGACCAACTGTCGATTAGCTTTACTGGAAGATTCATGCTGACGCTGTTTCTGAGGCAATCTCCTTCGATTCCGGTAAAAAGATGCTGAGCTTTCGTCCGTCATT